TTGGAAACAACCACCATGCCCAACTACCAGACGTAATGCCTCAAACACCAAAAGCACCTTTTAACTTGCCACAGGTAAAGCAGGGGGGGATAAGTGTATTGTCAATGTCCTGCTACTGCAGGGATGTAAAGTAGTTTATTAAAACAGACTTAAGAGATTCAAAGAGGACCATGCCTCCTCTTGTCGATGAGTTAAAAGAGACATGACAGACCAATTCTTGCAACCTTTTAATCATGTGAACATTGACTGCAATGGGACAAGTCACATGAGCATTATTTTGTTATTTGGTTCTTCTCATGTATTCTCTAGTCTTTTTCTAGCAAATATATATGCAGTCAGATCTTTTTATTGTTGCTCTGAAGTGCAGAGAAGTCAGCTGATACTAAAGGGGTGCCTGTACTGCATTCCTGTTCCTGCCAAAGTATACCCTTCTGAACACACCCACCTACCTGCTCCTGCTCTCACACACCAAACCAAAAGTGATTGGTATCTGCTGTGGTTGCTCTTGAGAGCTCCAATACATCTGAGAGCAGATTCCCTCACTGCATTTCTGGAGCAGACATGGTGGCTAGGCTATGCTTGGGGATGGGGCCCCTGGCAGTGTGAGAACACTATAGGTAAAGGACTCAAGAGTTGGGTCCTGCTCATTTTATATGCAAGAGAATTCCTACTGGCTTCCACTTGCCTTTTACATCTAATCACAGCAGGAGAAGGTATGGCTAAAGGCCGGGAGGGCTTCCCTGGGACTCAGAAGAGGTGTATTCTGAGTCTGCCACTGGTTGGCTGGGTAATCTCAGGTAAATTGCTTCCCCTCTCTGTGATTCAGATTCCCCACCTGTTAAACAGTAAATACATGCCTCTGTAGTAAAGAAGTTAGATATACTGCTGAACAGTGCTGTCTGAAAGCTTCCTGGCTAACATTACATTGTTTTGATTCAATAAATATGTGAAAGGTAGAGACACACCAGATGGATGTGGTCATATTAGGGGATTAAGTGGTACAATAGCAGATGCAATTCAACCTGCAGAAATGCAAAATAATGCACAATGCCATATGTGGAGTTCATCTCGTAGCCATGCAAGTCTCAGTCATGCACGCAACTCTGACCTTCATGGGAATTGTACTAGTGTAAAGTGAAGCAGATTTGTGCTGATAGTCCAAATGACTGGATCCTCACAGAGAAAAGATTTTGGATTGATATGAATAGCTCCTTTAAAAAGTATGCCAGTCCATGAAAAACTACATAACCCAAAAGTGGGAAGGAATGCGAGAATCTTGCAGGAAAAATATGAAGTAATATTTGATTGTCACTGATAGAGGCATTTGAATTACTGTCAGTCCTCAGACTTACAATGCAATTGGTTCCTGAAAACTGCATCTTAAGTCAAAACGTTGTAACTTGGAACCAATTTTCCCATAGAAGCAATGTTATAAATGCGGGGTTGGGACGCTTAATACAGCTGTGTCCGGCTGGTAAGTCTGTTGTGGGGGAGGGGAGGGGAGGGAAGGGGTGTGGGAGAGCAGATCAAAGTCCCCACAACGAAA